GACAATAGAAGTGGGGCTGAGTGACAGTCAAGAAGGTAAATAGATCCCTGTAATCCCAGCACTCTGGGAGGCCGAGATGGGTGGATTGCCTGAGCTCACGAGTTCGAGATCAACCTGAGCCAGAGCGAGACTCCCCATGTCTAAAAACAGCCAGGTGTTGTGGCAGGTGCCTGTAGTCCCAGCTACTTGAAAGCAAGAGAATCGCTTGAACCCAAGAGTTTGAGGTTGCTGTGAGCTATAACACCATGGCACTCTATCAAGGGCAGCAAAGTGAGACTGTCTCAAAAAAAAAAAAAAATCAACAAGCTAACTTCAGGGTGATGTGACAGAGCCCTGGGGTCTCCTTGAGGTTTGGTGTCTGAGCAGAGACACAAGTAGAGGAGGGATATGCCATGTGAAAGTTTGGAGAAAAAGGGTTCCAGGTGGAGGGAACAAGTCCTAGGGTCTGAGACTAGAGGAAGAAGACAGATCAGAGGGAGGGGCAGAAGGTGGGAGGTGAGGTCAGAGAGGCAGAGGGTCAGCTTGCATTAGACAATCCCTCAGCCCGCCGTGCCCAGCCCTTTGTTAGGCCCAGGCCTCAAGGAGGGTCAGTGGGCAGCCCCAATTTCCTGAACACAGAGCCCTAGACTACAGCTTTGCAGGGAGAGGATGACAATAGAGCCCAAGAAGCCTCTGATCCCTCATCAGGAGGCAACTTGGGAAGTCTTCCAGGAGGTGACAACTAAGTTGAACAGCATAGCCAGGTCAGACACAGGAAAGGCAGAGATGTGGGGAGGCAAAGTGAAAGGAGAGAGATGGCTGTGCAGGCCTACTCTGCGACTTGGAGCTAACATGTGGCTGGGCCTGGGGGACAGGGTCCCTTTAGGGGAGAGTGTTCAACTGCTGCCCAGGAGTGGGGGAAGGTTAAGGGACAATCTGGCTAAGGGCAGCACAAGAGTCCTTGCCTGTACCCAGCGGCACACTAGCATATTCAACTGCCCCTCTGGAGGCTTAGCCAGGATAACTGGCTCTTCTGTTAACCCCTGATGATGCTGAGGCCCAGAGAAGCTGGGGCCCAGCAAGGTCATCCAGCTGAGCCTAAAGCCTTCTGGCCCAGAGCCAAGCTCCCTTTCCCAACCCCAAACTGAGGCCAAAACTGACCAAGTGTAGCCATGGGGCCTTCCCAGAAAGGGGAAGCGGACAGGGGGTGCTGGGGGAGGGCGGGGCTTGGCTGGACAGCCTGACTCAGGCTGGGCACACCCTCCTGGGAAGCTTCGACCTGGGCAGGGGCAGCTTCCTGGCCTGGGCTCCAAACTAAGAAGCCCAGGAGGCCCTACCCACTGCTGCCTGTGACTCAACCACACTGACACTGCTGGCACCCTCAGCCTGCTCTCAGGACTGTGCCCAGTGTCCCCCTAGCATTTCCCAGGATGCTACAGCAGAAGCCAGAGACCAGAGTTCAAGTCCCAGCCCTGTGCTGCATTACCCCTGTTAGCCCCTGACCTATTTGGGTGTCTGCTGAATGGAATGAATGGCCCTCTTGCAGTCTGCTCAAGGGACCCCAGCCTCCTGTGGCTCCCACCCCTCAGATTCAATGGTCCCTTCCTGCCCCAGCCCTTCCCCTGGGGAGCCTAAATTTAGTCCCGCCTGGCGGTGAGGCCCCCACAGCTGCGCCCTAATCCAGCCAAAGGAAGCTGACACCAGCAAGCACGTATATTTAGGCTGTGACGCAGGGGCCTGGGCAGCTTCGGGTGGGGGCATGTGAATGAGATGCCCCTGGACCCTTTGGCAATCAGGGCCAGGGCCTGCACTCTCTCATGTATTGACCCTCACTGGCCACCTGGCCCTCCACAGGCCCCCTTCTCCCAGATTTGGGCCTTCAGGCCCCTTTAAGCCGCTCCCACCTCCCTCTTCATTCCTCCCAGCACTCAGTTTCCCCTTTTAAGGACATTGTGGAGACATCTCCAGCCTCCCAGCACTCACTCTGGCTGAAGCAGCGGGGGAACTTAGGGGGGGGTTCTTCTGGCTCAACTAGAGGGCCTGAGGAGGAGGGGGCAACATCTTTGTTCTGAGCTGGGCTAAGTAAGGTCCATGGAGGTTTCTGCCCCAGGCCCAGCCACCTGCAGATCCCAGAACTTGCTGCCTGTTCCAATGCCACCCTGAGCCATCTATCTCTCTGGCTAAAGACATGGGGCCTCCCTCCCCCAGTTCTGACCACAGGTGAGAAAAATGTGGGCACAGACAGATTCTCAGTTTGGAAGGCTGCCTGTACCCCCAACTGTAGGGGTTCTACGAGTTGCAAGGACACTTCTAAGTCTCGGGTGCCTGGAACACCAGGGCCCAAACTGGGGTGGGGGATGGGTTCTCTCAGGCTCAAAAGGCCAGATAGGGTCCCAGCTAGTCTCGGGGAGTCCCCCGGGGCTCCACTCACCATTTCTTGGTGCACTCCAACACCAGCTCATGGTAACAGGCCACAAACTGGAACTTGGCAGCCCGCTTGCCCACGCGCTGCAAGCGCTTCCACACCGAGGTCATGGCCCCTGCCTCGTCGCCCTCTTCTCAGGCCCGGGGCTCCCCCTGGCCCGCAACTGCTGGCCGGGTTCGTGTGTCCATGGCTTCTAGGGCTCCAATCCCCACTGCCCGCCCCGTCCTTGCGGAGTTGTCTGAGGCTTGGACTCGGGCCCACTCTCCCCGCTGTCGCCTCTGAGGCCCACGGAGTGGTCTGGCTTAGTCGGCAGGGTCGTCTAGTGCGCGTCGGGTGGCTTGAGCGCGAGCGCCAAGCGCGCCGTTTCCTGGAGCCGCACCCCCGTCGGAAGGCGGGCGGGGCTCTGGCGCGGGGCGGGGGCCCGGGCAGGAGCATCGGGTGGGCGGGGCGACCAGGCTTCCGGGGCCTAGAGCCGAGACCCGGGCGCGGCTTTTGGGGTGGGCGATGTGGACCGGGTGACGCCCGACCGGAGCGCCTAGGCGGTGTAGACGCGTGGACCGGGTGCGGGGCGCGTGGGCCAGAGGTGAGGGCAACCGGCAACTTGGTGCCGCCCTAACGAGCGCTGCCACGGCCTCTTCCCTTCCTGCTCACAGCCCTGGCAGACATGTACTGATGGCCCCATTTCACAGGCTAGGAAAACAGACCCAGAAAGGGAAAGGGACTTGTTCAGGGTCATGCGAATCTGAACCAGAGCCAACTGTCCTAAGCTCTTGGGTGCAGTCAACCACATCTTAACCAGAGAAGGAAGGAGCAGAGTCAGGAAGCAATTCCCCGGGTCTCTCACAACCTGGCCTCCTCAGCTGTCAAGTGGGAAGATAATCCCAACCTCCCAGAAGTAGTTGGAGGTTCAAATCCTAACTTCCAACCAACTGTGTGATTTTGGTTGAAGTACTAACACGCTGAACCTCAGCTTCAACATCTGTTAAGTGGAGATAATTTTTTTTTTTTTTTTGAGACAGAGCCTCAAGCTGTCCCCCTGGGTAGAGTGCCATGGCATCACAGCTCACAGCAACCTCCAACTCCTGGGCTCAAGCGAGTCTCTTGCCTCTGCCTCCCAAGTAGCTGGGACCACAGGCGCCCGCCACAACGCCCGGCTATTTTTTGGTTGCAGCCGTCATTGTTGTTTGGCGGGTCCGGGCTGGGGATTCGAACCCGCCACCTTAGGTGTACGTGGCTGGCGCCTTAGCCGGTTGAGCTATAGGCGCCGAGCCTGGAGATAATTATTGTTCCACCTTTTATAGTCATTGAGACTACACAACTTCAGAAATCATTTAGCACAAACCCTGACCTATCCCTCACCTATTAACGGGAATTCGTTACTATGGACGGGGAAAGTGTGCCTGAGTGTGTGTTTGTTTACTCTCCCTCCTCTGGGAAGCCTGCCCCGGGGCGTCAGCGGCTCTGTAAAAACTTAGATTAGAGCACTTATCGCCTACTCTCCCGCCCAGCATGGTAATGAGCATCTGCAGGTGTCAGGCCCTGTTAGAGAACTGCCCTAAGGCAACTCATCGGTTTTCTCCTGCTTCTCTGTAAAGTTTGTGAATGGACCGAAGCACAGTGCTTAATAAATACTAGGTTTGAACAGGACGTCTGATCTGCCAAGTGGGCCAGCTGGGTTGTGTCTACAGATGGTAAGTAACTGTTCATTAGGGCATGGGGGTGAGCTGCCCTACACCTAAGTGTACGACTTCGCGGGCCACTCCTCCCCGCCTCAGGAAGTTGTTGGGGTGCCGCGTGTGCTGCGGAGGGCAGGCCAGAATATCCACTGTCCCTGAAGCTTCTGGTGGGCTTGACACCACGGGCGGTGTGGTCTTGGTTTCTTTGTAAAAGGAAGCCTTTTACATATAACCGTAAAGGTCCCTCCCAAGTGCTAAGGGGAGAGCTGGCGGTTTGTATGAGAGGAAGTGTGAAATGGAGGTGTCTGGAACTCCAATCGCTTTTCACCGAGGATGAGAGCCCTGTCTGCATCTTCCTTTCGGGGCTTTACTGGCCTCTGGGAAGCCAGGGATACTAGGACACTCCCACCCCACCCCACCCCCAACCCTACTCCTTTTTACCTCTGCCTCTCTTTCCTCCCCCCAGGGAATTAGCTCCCAGACCCAGGCCCTTCCCGAAGACTCTTTCCCCTCTCCAGCCGAGGGGCCCCTTGGTCCGCTGACTCCCGCCCACCCATTTCCTGTGCTGCCCCAACTCCGCCCCTACTTGGGGTGGAAAGTTTCTATCCTCAAGATGGGCGGCAGTTTCTTCTTTCTCGGCCCGCTGGGAAAGCCCAAAGCCAGTTGGGAAAGGGGTTGGACTCCGAGGCCAACGGCCTGTGAGGGGAAGTGACTCGACCGCAGTCACCCAGCTGCGGAGCCAGGCTTGGCCAGCCTGGAACGCTCCCCAACCGCGCCCCAGGGAGGAAGATTCGCACCCCCAGCCGCTCTTCCACTTGGGGTCTCGGGCGCCATCTGCTGGCGGAGCGCGGAACCGCGCTTCCCCCAAACGCCGTTATACTCCCCGCCCAAGGGCCAGGCAGTCAAGAACACACAACACGGAGAGAGTGTTTATTTATTTATCTATGCGCCCAGGAGGTTGGCCCCTAATTAAATATCCAGCATGGGACCTTAACCCTCCTGGCAGTGGTTAGGTGCAAGGACGGGTCCTGGAACCCTTGTCCAGAGGGGAGTGGAACCCAGAGATCGGAGGTGGGATGCCCCTGAGGCAGCAGCTGCTAACAGCAACAAAAGGCGAGGAGATGGGAGCTAGACCTCATCCCAATGCCAGAGACGCCAAGGGGAGAGTAAATACTTTGGGCCCCACCGCTGAAATGAGGGTTAGCCAAGCAGGGGGCATACACATGTGGGAGAAGAGGAAGCCCAGTGCCATGGGCAGAGGCCATAACTGAGGCACCCACCCCAGTGCCAGCTAACCCAAGACAGGAGGGGATTGGGTAGTTTTGCCTCTGAGGTGGTACACGCCTTGCCCTCCTGTGAGGTGAGGTGGCATGAGGGAAAGAGCAGGCACTGCAGTCTGAGGACTTCCTGATGGATGAGTTTCTGAGCCTTTTGCATGAGTGCATGCCAGCCACCCTCTAGCCCTTCAGAGGCTGATGTGGAAGGCATCTTGCAGCCACTGGTCACGGGCATTGTGTGTCTGGGGCACAGTAAGGGGTGGTGGGTCGGGGGGCAAGCTGGCATCAGGAGGCTCCTCATCATCAGATAGGCCAGCGTCAGGTGGGTAGGAGCTGTCCGAGTGCAGGGAAGATGACAGGTCCTGACATAAGCTCAAGTCTTGGCACAGGTGTTTGTAGTCCTGGATTGACTCGTATAAGCCCCATAGCTGGCACAGCAGGGACATGTCCAACTGCCGCAGCCCCACCTGCAGACAACTGAGAGTGGGCTGGAGTTGGGGTCCAGGCCACCCCCAGCCCCAGCTCCTGGAATCCAAGGTCCCTAGCCCAAGCCACATCCTACCTAGTCTTCCTGCATCTTCCTAAAGTTTTTTTTTTTTTTTTTTTTGGCCGGGGCTGGGTTTGAACCCACCACTCCGATATATGGGGCTGGCACCCTACTCCTTGAGCCACAGGCACCATCCCTAAGTTAAAGTTTTTTAGCTGGGCTCAGTGACTCACACCTGTAATCCCAGCACTCTGGGAGGCCAAGGCAGGTGGATTTCTTGAACTCACAGAGTTTGAGACCAGCCTGAGCAAAAGCAAGACCCCCATCTCTACTAAAAATAGAAAAATGAGGCAAGAGGATAGATTGAGCCCAAGAATTGGAGGTTGCTGTGAGATATGATGATGCCACAACACTTTTACCCAGGGCAAAAACTTTAGACTCTGCCTCTAAATAAATAAAACTAAGTGAAAGTTTTTTGTGGATATCAGACACCACCTGCAAGCTGTGAAACTTTAGGCAAGTAGCCGCCCCTCATCTGTAAAATAGGAACACCCCCTAGGCAGGATATGAAATGACATGAGTGAAACATTTATAAATATATGGTAGCTTGGCTTGGTGCCTGTGGCTCAAGCGGCTAGGGCC